CAGAGGGAGAAGCAGGCTCCCCGCTGAGCCGGGAGCCCGATGTGGGACTCGATCCCAGGACCCTGGGATCATGACTTGAGCCGAAGGCAGACGCTCAACCATCTGTGCCACCCAGGCGCCCCAGTAGACAAAAACTTTCTAAGAATTATACTTGAAAAGATTCAATGGCAAATCTTTTATAGTAAGCTTATAAAGATATAGAATTCATTTTATCATTAGAATCTTAGGGCATATATACTTGATAAGAAAATACTTCTAAGCAGATGTGGTGGATTGTTTATTCAAAATAATCACTGCCCCTTCCTACTGGGCCCATCCCTCTCAGGGCCATTTTCCTCTCTAATATCAGCTTAGCCATGTAGTTTTCTCTGGCCAATGAAATGGAAAATGTGCCTCTTTTGAAAGTAAGCTTTAAAAGGGAGCACATAATTCACCATTTGTTTTCCCTCTCCCCTGAGAAAAGCATGTTCAAAGTAGGGGCTATTTTTCCTTTAGCCTGGGTTCCAGAATGAGAATAACACAGAACAGAGAGAAAAATGACCTACAGGTAAAGTAGCATAATTATGGTACTATTTTAAGCCACTGAGATTTGGGGGCTATTTTTTACCGCATCATAATCTGGCCTAAACTTTGATATAGCAGAGGAAGCAGAGGAAATTGGTTTCACTTTACAAGCAACTATAATTGTCTGACAACAACAGGTTGAGTTATGTTGGCAAGAAAACTCTAGGTTTGATGGGAAAATGCAAAGGTCAATTAGCATGCTATTATGAGCACTTTGGTAATATGATACAGGGACAGATATTTGCCATCCCTGAAGTAGGAACTTCAAGAACATCCAAATCAATGAAATCTAAAAAGTTTCTTCTATTTTACACATTTAAAAATATTTGATCTCTCTTTATCTTCCAATTACAGATATTAATCCTCTTATTGTATATACTGGAATTCATTTCGCTGGCTATTGTTTTCTTGGCCTAGAAAGAAATTAAGTCACTTGATACCTCAACAGGCATTATACTTGGCTTTGTTAAAAGCACAAACTGGGAAAACAGATAACCTGAATTCAAATCCTGGGCTTTGCCACTTACCCGCAAGTTATTTAACCACCCTGTAAGTTAGTTTCTACAACTGTATACTGCAGATGATAGTAATACACCTGCCACATTGTTGCTATAAGGATGAAAAGAGTTCATTATTTAAAGCCCTGAGAATAGGTCTTCATAAAATGATAAAAATGTTGTGTATCTGCATTGCACAGTTACCCATTAACTATTTGTGGTCACAGAGTCCTTGAAATGTGACTAGGACAATCGAGTAAATTATTTTATTTAACTTTAATTATCTTAATTAAATGTAAAGAGCCACATTTGGCTGCTGTACTGAATGGCACAGTCTTAGAATGTTGCCTGGCACACAGGAAGTACTATTCAGTGTTTGTTAGCTACTTGATCACTCAACATAGATCTGGAAACTCAATGTGGCAAATATTAGAATAAGAAGAATATGGTCATTATTTCATTCTCAAGGGCAGATTTAATTCTTTTGTTTTACTTTTCACAGATGCAGTGGCATATACTCAAGTTAGAACTTAGCGTTTCCTGAACAAGGGTAAAAATGTACTGAATTAAAAAAAATTTTCCAGTGACTAGAATATCCTAATAGGGCAAAATGCAAGAGAAAAAAACAAAACAAAACAACCCAAAAAAACAGGAACAGACTTACTTGAGAAAAATAAAAAAAAAGCAACAGGACTGATTACTACACTATGAGCTCCTTGAGGGCTAAAATACTTCAAAATTTCTCAGTATTTAATTAAATAGCTGTGACACGGTAGGTAATCAAAAGAAAACCCAATCCTTAAGTTAGAAATAAAACTCTGGATTAAGTCATTCCAAACCCACAATTTCCTATTTTAAAAAACAAAACAAAAAAGTCCCATCCTATTTACCACACAGAATTTTGAGGACAAAATAATATAAAACTTACCTCCGAGATTTGCGGGGAAGATGGAAGCAGAATAGAAGGACCCTAGGGTCACCTCACACCATGAACAGAACTAGATAACTATGAAATCATCCAAAATGCCCCAGAAATCGACCTGAAGACTAGCAGAACAAACTCCACAAGTAAAGGCAGAAAAGAGACCACATCAAAGAAGGTAGGAAGTGTGGAGACGTGGTTTGGGAGAGAAACGGCTGCCGTGATGGGGTGGGAGTTATGCTGAACTAGCACACAGGGGAGGCCACACAGGGAAGACAGATCCCCTAACGACTAGCTTCGAAAGTGAGAGGGGCCAAATTTCCTGAGTTTTGGCAACCGGCAGAGCTTAGAACCTATAGTTTTAAAGGTCAGTGTGCTTGGGTCTGGGAGAGCCCCAAAGGTATTGTTCTTTGGACAGAGTAGGGCAAACAGCCCACCAGCAAACAGCATGGTAACAGCTTTCTGCAGAGCACCTGGGGCACGCAGTGGGGAGGTTGTGAGCTCATCTGGAAGCATGTCCCAGAGAGACAGCGTTCACAGAGAGACCCCTCCTAGAACAAAGGAACGAGTAGGCATCATTCCCCTCTCCCACCTCTCAGTATAAACATAGGGCCACATGTGAGAACCAACCCAGCAGACACTTGCTACCTAACATCCTTACACCAAACTCCATCTCCCATGCTCAGGTGGTTTCCCCCTTCCCAATCACTCTTGCCTCAGTCCCAGAATAGCAGGCTCCCACCCCCAGAAGACCAGTGCAAACCCCTGGCAACACCATGTCTCCCGACCTGGGAATTTTACAGGGCTTCGGTTCCACTGGCAACAGGTCTCATTTCACGAACAGACCAGAGCACACCTAGTTAAAAATGCTCCACATTCAGGCCAGGGACTAAACAGTGTTGCCCACAATAGGCAAAGAGAGCCTTTGCAGACAATTGGCCTGAAGGATAAAGAGGCCAGGACACACTGCAGACGCTCGTGGAAACACCAGGTCCTGGAGAATAGGGGACACTATACTGCTAGGCACTACAGAGACCTCTTCTCCATCAAGCCATTACCATCAAGAAAAGGAGTTGACTTTCCTAACACAGAGAAACAGGCAGAAACTTAGACAAAATGAGAAGACAGAGGAATCTGTCCCAAAGAACAGGAAAAGGCCACAGCCACAGATCCAAGCAAAACAAATACAGTAACATGAGTGAAAGAGAATTTATTTATTTAATTTTAAAGATTTTATTTTTGCGAGAGAAAGAGCAAGCACGTGAGTACACAAGCAGAGGGGAGGGGCAGAGGGAGAAGCAGACTCCCCACTGAGCAGGGAGCCCGATGTGGGACTTGATCCCAGGACCCTGGGATCATGACCTGAGCTGAAGGCAGACGCTTAATCAACTGAGCCACCCAGGTGCCCTGAAAGAGAATTTAAAGTAATGATCATAAAGGTATTGCACTTTAAAGAAAAGTGGAAGACATCAGTGAGACCCTTAAGGCAGAAATAAAAAAAGAACCAATCAAGAGATGAAGAGTGCAATAAATGAGATTACAAACACCCATGATGCAACAAACAGTAGGCTGGGAGAAGCAGAAAAACAAATTAATGACGTAGAAGACAGAGGGATGGAAAATAAACTTAACAGGAGAGAGAAAAAAGAATTATGCAAATAGAATAGACTTAGGGAACTCAGTGACTTCCATTAAATGTAATAATATTCATATTGTAGGGATCCTAGAAGAATAAGAGAGAAAAGGGGGTAGAAAGTTTGAAGAAATCATACCTGAAAACTTCCCTAATCTGGGGAAGGAAACAGATAACCAGACCCCGGAGACATGAAGAACCCCCCCCAAAAATCCACAAAAGCAGATCCACATGAAGACATATTATAATTAAGATGTCTAAATGTAGTGATAAATTTTAAAAAGGAGCAAAACAAAAGAAGACAGTAACCTACCAGGGAAACTACATAAGGCTATCAGCAGATTTTTCAGCAAAATCTTTGAAGGCCAGAAGGGAGTGGCATGATATACTGAAAGTGAATGAGAAAAAGATGCAGCCAAGAATACTCTATCCAGCAAGGCTATCACTCAGAATAAAAGGAGAAAGAAAGTTTCCCAAAGAAACAAAAATTAAAGCAGTTCATGACCACTAAACCAGACCTGCAAGAGAACTGACTAGGAAGGAAAGACCAAAGTGACAGTAAGAAAGCAGGAAACACAAAAGTAATAAAAATGAGTATTTCTGTAAGAAATCAGTCAATGAACTCACAAAACACAATGATGTAAAATATCCAAATACCTAAATGTGGGGAGGAGAATGGTAAAAATGAGTTCAAACTTAAGCAAATTGCTTCCTAATATAGACTGCTATATGCAAAAGATATTATATACAAATCAAAAGATAGCCAGAAATTAAAAACGACTAAAAGAAATGCAAAGGAGAAAAAGGAATGCAAATATAGCACTAAAGAAAACCAGCACACCATAAAAGAAAGAGAAAGGATGAGAAAAACTTCAGAAACAAGTAACAAAATGACAGTAAGTACACACCTATCAATAATTATTTTGAATGTAAATGGACTAAATGCTCCAATCAAAATAGGGTGACAGAATGCATAAAAAAAAAAAGACCCATCTATATGCTGCCTATAAGAGACACATTTCAGACCTAAAGACACCTGAAGTTGAAAGTGAAGGAATGGAGAAACATTTATCATACAAACGGATGTCAAAAGAAAGCTGGAACAGACATATCAGACAAAAT